GCCTCAACGATAACTCTGGTCGTCCCATCGCCCGCAGCGCCGGGGGCCGAATAATTGCCGCGAGGACGGCCACATCCTCGGAACGCCCTCAGCACACATCTGCATGCCTGAACGGAAGGCGAGAGCCGCTGTCGGGGCCACTGCTTGTGGGCTGCTTTGGCAGAGAATGTCATCAACAGGGATTAGTCGTGGTTCTACGCTGGGTCGGATATGGCCCGAGCTTCCTTTGCACCACGAGCTCTGCGGAGGTCTGAGCAGGGACTCGCGTTTTTGACAGTAAACTCTGCGGAGGTGTCAGCAGGAACTCTTGTTGATATGTGCGTGATATCTGAGGTTAGGTGCAGCACAACAAGCCAGATGGAAAAAAGGCAAGGAAAGGAAGATGGCTGTTTTCTACTGAAAGGCACACAGCGTCCAGTCGGGTCAATAGCACTGGAATTTAAATGCAGTAACGTGGTTAAAATTCCATCCTGCAACCGCGACCATGTGGTCAGTGTACCGATGCGATATCGTAACGACTGCTTGAGTCGAGCGGTAATAGGCCGCAGTGCGTGCATGTGCTCCAACCTGCCATCCCACTAGTAACTTTTGGACCAAGTTAGTACACGCGAAGCTGTGCAATCACCGTGGTGATGACCACTAGCAAAAGAGGGCCAAATAGCACTAGTGTTCCGTGTAAGTATAAGTGTTCCGGCTAAGTTCCGGTTTGCAAAAGTACTCTTGCAAACACACATAAAACACATTTAATCAGTTTTTTGCATTCTGGAAATACGAAAATATCTCAAACCCGTAAATTTTGCACACGTTAGAACACGTGTTATTTGGCCCTGCTCTTCCTAGTTGACAGCGCTCACCTTTCACGCCCCGCAATTGCTGTCTAATGCTGAAAACACTGTCGGACAAGGCACGCGCACGTGACGCCAGCAATATCAGTTCCATTATAATATTTCTGATCTATTTTATATTGCTATTGTATTATTTGCGTATTCAGTATTAGCATTTCCGCATTGTGTACTTAGCGTTTCACGCATTGACATTTCCGCACTGTATTCAGCCTTTCCCCAAAGGATGCGCCCCTCAGCCCGGTGATGCGGAATGGCATATATGGCGTTCCTCAAAATGAACTTATGCAAATAGCAAACGACATTCCTTCTGAGAAATGCTAAAGAGGAATCCCTTTGGAACACAAGGCAACGCCAAATTTGCTTAACCCGCGCATCAGCAGCGCCAAGATGATCTATGGGCTGGTTTCCATGTCCCTTTAACGCCATGCTCATGCGGGCTTGGTCTTTGCGTCTCAAACATGCATATTGGGTGTGTAAATACATTCAAATAGTAGGATTTTGCGTGAAAAGGAGTAGAATGTATAAAATCGTCTTGTGTACATAAAGCCAGTACATACAGACTCAAGAAGTCTAGGGAGCGCCAGCCAGATTCCTGGCGACTATTGGTACACATGACCGGGTCGGGGGTCACCTTGGTATAAAATCATGCCAAGGAACGCGGTTGAGGCGTGATTTCTTGGTAATTATGTAATTGCCAATTATATATGGAGTGTGGCGGAAATATGTCATGCCGCTCTAGAGCTTGTACCACCGGTTTGAGAGGGCAAGTGGAGTTGGGTGAAGCTGTAATGCTTGTATTTGCCAATACTGAGAGGGCTGAGCCCATGACGGCATTAAGAGTGGTGGCAACGTGCAAAAGGTGTAGTCAACAAATGCGAGAGGCGGCACTTGACCTGGGGACCTCCTGCAGAGGATGGAAGGCCAGGTGGTAAATGTGAACACGTTTTGCGCCCTAAAAATCTACTACAGGGATGGCAGAGACCATATAGGAGGCTTGGGACGCTCCGGAAAGTTCCACAGTAGGGTGAGAAGTGTATTGGGGAATATTCCGTAGTCTGAACATGGAATCAGGGACAATACCTTGCCAGTGGAGCCCAAAAGCCGAGTGCCCAAGCCGCATCGCCTGAAAAATTCAAGAATCCCATTTGCGACAGCCATGGCGGCCCCCATCTGAAACGTACGTGGAGAAACCTCCGCAGGTCATCCATCTGAGGTGGGAGGAAGCTGGTCAAGTTAATCTTCTATGACTGTGGGGCCACGAGCGTACTTTGGTTGATCCATTATGTGTGGGGAGGCGAGTGGATTTCAATCTCATGCAGTAGACGCTGTACGGCGTCCCCCAGGACAAGAGTCCTCAAAATCTTTGAGCCGAATCTCCAAGAAGCTGGAAAGAGGTCCAGAGGCGGAGGAAAGGAGGCTAGTCAGATGGAGGAGTACGTACGAGGAGACCAGCGACCCCTAGGGGAGCTGATCTTGAGGAGCAGGCAGAACCCCTAAAGCATGGAGGTGCGAGGCGGAGAGAGGGGATTCGGGTGGGCAAACACTGGTTAGCATGTGTAATCCATGCCATCTCATTGAAGTGCATGTGTTTCGAGCTTAGATTCTGCTCTTGCTCCCTCGCGGTGCCCCTCCCCTGAGCCATCTCGCGTTGCGATTCTGCCTTCGGTTGTTCCAAAGCCATTGCCGCTGGTGTGGTCGACGAACTTTAATTTCGTTGCCTCACCACTAGGGAAAAAAGGGACAATTAACACTCTTGCTAACACATTTAATCAAAGTTCTGCACGCTAAGAACACAAAAACAACACAAACCCGTAAACATTGTACACGTTTTGAACACGCCTTATTTGGTCCTTTTTTCCCTAGTGCACAGAACTTTGCGACATTGCTTTTGTGTGGTTGCTGTGTTGAACGCTGCTTAAATTGGTGAAACTGTGACCAGGATCCCGTGTGCATGATGTGAAAACACGACGATTGTGTGCCGCGCCCTTGTGCCATTGGAGGTTGCACATGCAGCTCAAAGATTGGTGTCTATTGAAGGCGTCGCTCCCCAATCATGCGCTGCATACAGCACCCGCCCCGTCGCTGCATCGTGCCTGCACATCGCGTGCTAGGGTCTGTGTCGCGCGGTCACTGAGACCCTGTATTGTGGGTTGCGGTGGTCGCTGAATCTCTCTGAGCAGCCTATGCAGTGATCATCGTGTTGCTCACTGGGATTCTCCATCTGGTGTAGTACAGCGCCACGTTTGTAAGCGCCCCGCTTCGGCAGCACTGAGTGGAGCGCTGCGACCGAAGTCGCAGCGTGCGCGGTGAGCTTACTGTGGTACTTCGCGCAGCAAAGTGATCTCCGTGTAGGTTGGGGTGGGCTTGGCTGTGTTGCGACGAGATATTCGTGGGTTGCAGTGCAAATGGGGAGGAATAGCTGCTGCGTCGTCGTTTTCTGGGCCTCTGGGTGTTATAATACACAGTCGCCCCACCCATCTGCTTCTGTGATGGCTCATCAAAACGTGGATATTTCACACGAGTGAATCCACGTCGCAGTCGTGAAGAGCAGACATCTGAGATTCGATGTTTCTGTGATGCTTCCGACATTTCACTGGGAGGCTAGACGGAAGAGCATCTCTCCACAGATGATTTTATTGCAGAGCTCGTCAGCATCGCACTGAGTACCCGCATTGATCACATAGTGTGCCAAGCAGTGACGCAACTGTCTACATTAGTAGTTTGTTCGTCGAGTCAACGAGAAATCACCCAGACAAATCACTGAAAAGGAAACAAGAGATTAGGCAGCTAGACCTCCTGTTTACCCTTGAGGGCATTTGCTGGCCTGACACGCACTCTGTATTTGCAACAGACTGCGTAAAAGGTAGACAGCATAGATACAATAAAAAAAGGTAACCGGGTCAATGTTTGTCTCCAGACGCAACTGAAATTTTCCTCGCGATACCCTTAGTGTGCGGGTCCTGTGCCCGTGCCCAAGCAGCTCTTGCAAGGATTCAAATTCGAAAACACGACGTCTCTGAGTCTGCCAATGTCGAATCGCTTGGGCCGTATTTGACCACACAAGAAAACGGGGCCCATGCACCTTATTAGCGAGTATGGCATCTGGCTATGTAGGTTGTGGCGTGAATATCCCAGCCCGTCTTGCAAAAGCAGACGCTTGTGCTCCTCCTCGGAAAGTTGCAGTGGATATGGAACTAACTATCTTGCTATTAGATCTCTGCCTTTGGGCGACGTTGGCCGGGCCCGCCTGCTCCTGTCTGGGCCGGCTGCTTCTGTCATGTCGAATTTGGCGGCCCTTGGGCTTCTGTCCCCTGCGGTGGCCAGCTCCAGGCGTTCAAAGAGGACCAGTGGTTTTGGCGCCCTTGGGGGTAGCGGGCTTTGGCGGGCTCGGGCGGGGGAGGCTACTTAGACTCGTCCCTCGGTCCCCACCTTATCTTGTTACGCTTGCCACCCGGCCCAGCCCTATTAGGATGAGTTTCGGTTTAGTCGCGGGATGATGAGGCAGTTCAGCACTGGAGATAGGGGGCTGACTCAGGGTTGAGTCACGGAGAATACTGGCTTAACTACTAGCGAAGTGACTGGGCACACTTGAGATGTGAGTACCTTGGGTTGATTTGGGCAAACAGACAACGTATTTGTTCTTGTTCCATTGTGTGTGCAGAGCTGGGGTGGGTAAGGCAGCAATTGTGTCCCGTACTTGCTTCCCACAGATTGGAAGATATCCGCTGCTGAGATTGTTATCACATGGTTGTGCCATGGAGCAGCGTAGGACGGGGCTTACAACCGCCCATGTTTGCCGTGGTTTATTCTGTTGTGAAGAGGCTATGCTACCTCATTTGCTGATGTACTAGCTCCCGCTGCTACTATCGTCCCGTTGCTCGTACAATAACCAGACTCGGGATTCGGCATCTGCAGATGCTAATATCTAGACAGGGACCAAAATCTGCTTCTCTTCGACCCGATGGCCGCGGCCTTGAGATATTTTGTGGATGTGGTGTCTGGATGCACAACCAGCAATTTTGATGTTACAATTCCATCGACTCCCAAGGCATCTGGACCACTTGGACCTCAGCATAACAGCCATACATTTGCCATCGTCAAATAGCCTCTTGCATGTTCACTGCCGCCTTTATTGGACCCCGTGCGCAGTTGTCTCTACCGCAAATCTCTGCAGCTCACTCTCAGCCGAGGGTTGAGGTACACGTGTTGGCACAGTTCATAGATTTCCTGCCCGGTGGATGGCGCCTTATGCGCGTGGTAGCCACGCAGCGCGCAGGTCCTGACCACATCCATTCCGCCAGGTGTAGTCAGCCTGAAGATGCCACATTTTCGTCGCTTGTCTGCTGGCGCCATCACGATTGTTACTGCTTCTGGGAGCATAATCTGAAACCTGAATGCTGTGTGAACGTCGATCGATGATAGGTCGCATTCGTCCTCAGTGCGGCTGTAGATCCAACCCATCATGAGTAGGCCGTCTCCAAGCACCTCGTCCACGACCTCCTCCTCCCCATTCGTCATCTCCACACGGTTTGCGCAGCCTTTCTGTTTTGGGAATATTAGCTTCCTGACCTGCAGGAGGCTGTGCTCAGCAATCAACTCGCCTGAGCAGCGACAAAAGTAGCTTCAGAACGTTTTCGTGGTCAAGAATCTTGCAAATCTATTCCACCTCTGTTGGTCTGTGCAGCGGACAACAGCAGCCAACAGGGAGATGCACAGAGAAACAGTATGTTTGGGCATTGCAAGTTGTGCTGATGTCTTGTCCTGCGCCGTCTCCTCTGCTGTCACAACAACTGAAATATCCCATGAGCGCTGATTTGAATGACAGGCAGAGAAATCCAGATACTTCAGAACACAAAAGCATCTGCTGCAAAGTTTGCAAGATTTTTTTTTTGCACAGATGACCTGTGACACTTTCGTACATAATGCAACCATGTGCATCATCTAGATTATGCCTATTTGCACAAATGTCAATCGGCTGCAGAGCGAGGACCAAACCCTCACCAGCCAGGAGGGCACAGGTTGAGATGCTCTTCTGGGTGTTCATCTTGGCAACCTCCAGGAAGGTATTCAGCATCTCTAGAGATATGTGTACATCTCTGAGGCCTCCATGCCGTCTTGTGGGCACAATACTCTGGGATGCAGATTCCCGTCCAGGATACACCACCTCAGCCGAGGCATGTGCAGCTACAGTTTGCACCTGTTACAAACAAATGTGCTCAATGGTGAGCATCAACAACCATATATCAGCCAGTCATTGTCGGTGACAAGACCTGGACAGAAGCATGCCCCCACTTCACAGCACCTGCAAGTGTTGCACATGTGCAAACTGCTTTAAATGCAAAGTCACTGCCCCTTAGAACTACTGTGTCCTTTGGGTGTTGCTTGTACTCAGCATCAGTCTCTTAAACAGCCAGAAGAGGCAGCATATTGCTCCATGGGTCTGGGCACCATGGCAGTACTACAGGACCCAATTTCCCACTGGCAGGTCATCAAAAAACTAAAATTCTCACACTATTCACTGTGTGTGGAGCATTGTTCAGGGTTGGCTTGCAGAACAACACTTGCAAATAATCAGCCACTCCACTGAGGACAAAGTTGCAGCCAAATGAAAAGATACAGACATTGTGCTTCATGGGATGGCCTGACAACAGTTGTGTTGGCACCTGTGTTTCATCCATCGACCTGCCATGCTCCTGATCAGGACAAACACGCGAGGGCCCCTTGCTGGGACTTGTGCTGCTGTGATGCTCACAACACTTCCCCAACTCTATTTCAACCAATAAACAACATAATACTCACAAATGCAGCACACTGCCTTTCCAGCCACACTGCCTTTCCAATGTCCAAACAGTTTTGGGGTCTAAGGACAGAATCCTACTCAACTCCCCCTCACCTGAGTCTCCTGAGGCCCATGCTGGAGCCCCAACTGTGGCCCAATCCCGGGGCCCATTGCATTGGATGCAGGAAAGCCTGAGGGGCTGTGCGTTGGTGCAGCATCCATCAGAGAAGCCTGTTGCATGAGGCCATCTGCAGCAAATGCAGAATGCAAGGGCCCTCCTGTGGGGACCACCATCGGCACTGATGGCACATCGATGGTGGGGTACTGCACCCCAATGGGCACACTGCCCACACCTGTCCCCACAACTGCTGTGCCTCCCAAAGTGTTGTTGTTTGTGCCATATGAGCTGCCCATGATTTCGTGTCTGTTCACTGTTCTACTTCTGGTAGCAAGTGTGGAGTTGATCATGATGTCTGGAGGGGGTACCGTTCCCCCAACACCAGGCTGCCCCGGTAAAACAGTCATTCCTCCATAATCAGGATGGCCAGAGGCATTTGGGAAGGCAGCTGTGGTCCCTCCAACACCCCAATTGAATTCAGGGAGGTTCGATGCACCAATCTGACAGGCATGCTCAGGACGTGGATGTGCAGGCCCTCCTGAGGTTTCCATGATTTGCTGTTGCAAGACCTTGCCCTTCAGAGTTTCCTTCTTGGGAAGATAGCACCTGCCCAGTTGCTGTTGCAGGGCAAATGGGACATATGTGTCTCAGCAAACACAAACAGACAAAACAGCGCTGAAAATATCTTGTTCAAAGCTGACAATCTGCGCTCTAGAGGGCGCTATACCAAAACCTCCAATTGCTCTCGCTGCAAACTGTGATATCACTGCAGAGCTAGTGTCCTAGCTTCTCCAAGACAACTGCGATTGGCACCTGGCTGTGTGTTGTGATGCTCAGTAGACTGGTTCTGTTGGCGCCATGGGTCAGTGAGCCTCTCAGTTGCTGGGCACCATGATGGGTGCATTTGGCAGACACATGACTGGCACCTGACACTGTTTTCCTCAGACGTTGGAGCATTCAGGGAGCATCCCCTTTCAGTCGCCTTCTGCCCATGCGTTCTATGACTACTCTCGTGACCAGCAAAAATACTTGCAGATAAAGAAAAAAGGAGTCCTCGCAGCTCGAGCGAGTGCGTTTGCACCATCAAGAAGTATTTTGTTATGCAATATTACAGTGATAAATACAGACTAGTATGTGACCAGGCAGTCGTGATGAAGGCCTGCCCAATGCCTCACACAACCGATTCAGATGCAATCCTCTTGACAAACGCAGAAATCAGAAGGTGAATTTTTCTGTGATCGTCTGTCCTCTTAGAAGTTTAGAAGTTTTGGGCCGCATGTCACCGTATCACAGAGGTTTGGTCAGACTTCCCACAACCTTTACTCCTCCACTGGTTTGGTTTTTGAGATGGGAGGGGCCCTAGGTGCATCTTCAGTTACCTGCTTAGCGTACTCACATCGACCGCACACTGCTGACACAGATGGACATCGGCGCTGTTGGGTGCCAGTGACTACAGCACAGGGGCTTTGCACAGGCAGCACTTACAGCCTTCCGATTCTGAGCGCTTGGGATCTGGGTGGCCGCCCCTTCTCGCTGGCCTGACCGTCATGCGGCCAATTGTCTCCAGGCTTCACGGGGTACATCAAGGGGGCAGGCAACCACCCTTCGACCACAAGACATGAAAATTGTGGTCTTTTTGTAGGGTGTCTGTAGTCGGTGCGTCCTAGAACCCAAAAATGAGCTGCCAAGCAGATACAAACATGGTGATGGATTTAGAAGAGCCATGCAGGAATACCCCGTATGCAAGAATATGAATGTCGCCTTTCACTCAGCGATGGTGTCTTCTGCCACAATCCGGGTTGGGGCCCAGACGCCACAACGCACAGAACGAGGAGTTGCCAAGGTACGCGATGCAGGGCAGCGCCTTGCACCAGCGGGGCAGCTTGGCAAAGGGGGCCCGCAGTGGCCGTGGACAGTCGAGATCGGGGCAGGGAGGGGCCGGGGTGAAAACGAAGCACACGACCTGTGGACCCAAGGCGCCAGGGCATCCAAGAGCCGGTTCTTGTGGTTTACAGGGGCAGGGCCGACATGCGGCGCGAGAGGAAGCAAGGGTCCCGTGGCTTGGGACCAGGGGCAACAGGTGGCCGGGAGCCCGCGCGCGCCGGCGAGCCCTCCTGACTGTCGGCGCAAATAGGTGACTGAGGAGCTGCAGGCTGACAGGCCTGTTCACGAGGTCACCCCCACTTGTGCCGACATGGCGTGGAAGGCCGTCCCGCGGCGAGCATCCCTGATGCAATGCAGGCACGCGCCGTGGAGCGGCAAACATGAGGCCCCGAAGGATTCACCAAACCCAGGACCCGCTCTCGGCAGGTGACCCCCATGGCGCCGACGCGCGTCGTCGTCCCCTCCCATCAATCCAAGTGCGTTCGCCCCTGGCCAGCAAGTGTGATCGCCGGCGAGCGGCGGCCTGATTGGCCTGAATGCTGGGCCCGGACGGCGGCCCACGGGCTCACCTGAGGCCAATTTCCACCGGCGATCCGAGTGGCGCCAACCTCTACCCGAAGGCCCAGCGTCTAAGGCCTGAAGCGCGAGACACATGGGTTTCGTCATCCCCCCAAAAGGTCTGGAACCAGCCAATTGGGCAGTCCACCCGCAAAAGAACAGACACAGCGATACACCGCACCTGAAGAGCTAGACAACTGGTTTTCGTCAATCCCCGAAAGGTACGGATCCAGCCAATAGGGCAGCCCATCCACAGAAGAACAGCCACAGCGATGCACCGCACAACGCCGTTGCGTTTGAGCCAATACCCCTCTGCCCGAACCAATGTCACTGCAGTGACAATTGGCGGGCTGGCAAGGTCCCTGGGCGTCAGCGTACTCGAACCCACCCTCCGCCCGAAGCGCCCCTGAAAGGCACAACTCCCCACGCGCACCTCGAGCTGCAACGGACCAGGCCGGCACGGCAGTGGGGACACCGCTCGCCAGCGCCACGCAGAGCCGAAGGCCGGCGGAAAAGCAGAAGCGGGTTGGAGGGAAACTTTCCGCCGCCAAGTCGCGAAGAAACAGCCGGCGGCTTGGAAGGGAGTCCAACTTCATTCGCAACGATCAGTCCCAAGCCCAGAGAAGTTGTACGGTGTGGTACCGCTGACGTGGGGAGCCCTTCGGCCCGCCAACGTCCTCCTTGTGGCTCCCCGCTCCGTTCCGGCATTGCCACCGTTCCCGTCGTACTTTACTTCGATGCGACAGGCTGATTCGGCGCTGCTAATAGTCGCTGCCACCAAAATCCGGTCGCCGGGTGCTGGTTTGCGCAGACCAAAGCTGTCCTCCAGAAGCGGTGGGCCCAGAACGTCGCCATGCCCGTCCTGTCCATCCCGCCAATGTCACCAGCCGGCGCCGCCTTCGAGCGGCACACACGAGGGGTGAACATGGCGCCAACGAGAAGAGGCGGCGCCCCGAAACGTCGCAAAGCGTCGGTGCCGCCAAAGCCGCCCGCGCCGCCTGACGACAAGGCGTGCGTTGGCGAACGCCCGGCCTGGGCACCACGGGGCATTCAGCTGCTCGATCCCATGGGACAACCCGTCCCACAATCGACCAGCGATGGGGAGCAGGATCGCAGGGGCGGCGCGGGGCCGGGCTCGTCGCGCGATCCCGCCGCCCGGCTACGGCGGACAGCGATGAAGATTCCGGCGGGGACTTTCTTCCTGCCTTTGCTGCCCACTGGGCGCGCCCCTGCAGTCCCCAAGGCCCACAGATTGCCTCCGCACGGAAGCGGGCGCAAACCAAGAGGCAGCCAGGCCGCCTGCCATGGCAAAGGGCCCAAGGGGTTGAGGACAGGGCCAGAAATGGCCGGCCACCCGCGTCGTACGCCGGCCGGCAGCGCCCGCTCGGCCGCCTGCCCGTCCCTCCTGCAATGTTGCACCGGCGGCATGGGGCGCCGCTTGTCGCGCTAATGCTCTCGGCGCGAGATGCCGGGCTGCCGTCGCCGCTCCCTCTGCGTCTTGGTGCGCGACGGGGGCCGGGCGCAATAGGTCGAGCCGGGCAAGCCGGCCGTCGCGTTCGCTTTTCGCGAAGGAGGCGGGTGGGCCGGCCGTGGGGGTATGTGACTGCGCTAAGTTGCTTTGAGGCTCGCGCTCGGTGCCGCATGGAGTGCCGGGGGCCGCCTCGGGTGCCGCCTGGCAACCCACCTAGCGATAGCGCTCCAGACCGGGAGTGCCCCGCGGCTCCGTGCTTTTGCCGACACACTTGGCAAAGGAGGAGCGATGGCGTTCCGCTGCAGTGGGGATGGCTGGGTGGGAGATCGGGCGCACACTCACAAGAGCTTCGTGGCGGCGTTCACGTGTACCTACCTACCCCTCGATCGCCCGGCCTCCGCGTTCCTGCTGCGTCCTGGTCGTGTTGGAGCCGGCACCGCTGCCTGGGACGCCTTGCTCGACCTTAACTACTGTTCTAATGCGTTAAGTACTGTTCAAACACCTAAAGTACTGGAGGACAGTAGCGACCCGTCTAGCGGACCCTCAATCGGCTTTTGTCACGGGGGGTTGCTACCCCACCACCACCACCACCTTTCTGGAAAGAACACAGGCGCCTGCCTGGTAAGCACAATGCCGCAGCACAATTTGTTGTGTCATACCACCACTTGCAGTATATTGTAGTATATAACTACAAATTGCCCTGTGGACTTATCAAGCTTCTGTTGTATCGATGACTAACCGAAGCACTGACTGCCAATCTACTCATCAAAGCCTCCAGACACTGGGAGAAAACGGCATGTTGGCGATGCCTACTGCAATGCCAATTGACACAAAAAGATGCCGTCACAGTGATTGCGATGGCATCAATTTGTGTCAAATGGCATCGCAATTGGCGTTGCAAACAGGCTGTTTTCTACAGGTAAGAGTTCAGCCCCACATGGGTCGCCACCCGTGAAGGTCGGCCAACCCTTCGATGATGCGAACCACTTCCCGTTCTCCAGTCGGCTGTCACTGGTGTCCAACGCCACGATCGGCATGCGCAGCTGGAATACTTCACTTGTGGTGTGCATTTCTTATTGGACACTCCTGTAGGGGGAAGACCACCCGAACTTGTCGAGGTCACGCGGCCTCGTTCTGTCAAATGTTCTGGAACAATGAAAAGGTATACGTCGTTCAATTGCGCAATTCAGCAACCTATTGTAAATGGAAGAGGCATATGGTCTCCAGAGCGGGATCAGACCAGAGATTGGTCCAATATCTGGTCAGGGGACTAGTATTCATGAAGTATTTTCTGGCTAGGGGGACGTGGGTGGGGGACGCAGTCACACTAGACTGTCCCCTGTGGTAGTGGCACAGCAGACAGACATCCTGGTCGCGGTTCGGGACATTTGCGACCACGGGCGGCAGCTGCACGAGCTGACCGAATTTGCGTCCGCTTAACTTTCAAAGGGAGCCATGACACGCGTTTGCGCGGGAATCTTGGCGCGCTTTTCAGGTCGGCGGCGGCACCCCTGGTTCTTGGGGGCGCCGAATATGGGCACCGCAGCCAACTGCGCTCGCAGGCAACGTCTTCTTCGTCCCTTTGCACTTGGCGGCAGCTTTGCACAGTGCTTCCGTTTGGCGTGGCTCGCACGGCTG